TGCATCTATCTCAAAAACCTGAGAACAGGACCAGCTATATCAAACTGAAAAACTGTCCTTTATGGTGAGATCAGTAGTGTAGTGGTTACGAATCGGGCTGCGAACCTTAAGGTCAGCGGTTCGAAACTACCAGCTGCTCCGCAGGAGAAAGATGAGGCTTTCTACTCCCGTAAAGATTTACACCCTCGGAAACCCTATACAGGGTCGCTATGGGTCTGAACCAACTCGATGGCACATAACAACAACAACAACAATGGTGAGATCAATAAAGACAACTATTTACATGTCAATGACGTAGGTGTAGTTCATTGTGCTTTGTTGTTGTTCTTGTTAAGTGTTGTTGAGTCAATCCTGACCTATAGCGACCCTGTATACAGGTTCCGAGGAGTCCTTGGTGAGCTTGAACTGCCGACCTTAAAGTTCAAATGGCTTTCTTTGCATTCTGGTGCATGAACCCACAGAGTCCCACCATGACTCCAGTTCATGGTGGAGAGTTTTGTAAAAGCAACACTTTATTTTGAAACTGGACACTTGCAACTTAACCTTCTGAAGCAGGGAAAAGGCATCAGGACAGTAACTGGAGAGACAAGCTGCTAAAGTTGGAATGCAGAAGTCTGCCCTTCTGTGAATGACTAGATGTACTATAGTAAGCCAATCTGTAGGTCCTTAGAGGACTATTCAAAAGCAATTTCAGTAGCCACACATCTAGAAAGGCAGCGACACTACTCTGAAGGAAAGCCATTTGTTCCAAGATTTGGCATGCAGCTCAGACTCTTGATTTTGGTTTATTGATTTTATTTTTAATAGCACAAAAATATTACATAAACCAGAGAAAACACTTGCCTCACAATCTGGCTAACCCAACAAGTAAGCCTGCTTTTTTATCTGTCCAGTTAGTGTTCAATAAATTGTTTTTACATAGCTGACATCTTAGCGCATATGATTCTGCTCTTTCCACCTATGATTTTATTTTATGATATAGGAACCCTTCAGTGTCTGCCTTGCTTCTGTGAGCTCACTACTGGTTGGATGAACTGCATAATTATGCAATTCAAAATTTTCAACTTAAAGTTGTCATGGGATACACATCAAGATACTAACCAGTGGAAAATCATAATGCATTCGTGAAACCCTTTCCGTGTTTCTGGATACCCATACATTCTTCCGAATTTTTCATTAAAATAAATGATACCACAATAAGCATTTAATAAATGTTGAGATTTCCTCCTACTTTATGATTATTTTCTTGGGATAAGTTTTCAGAATCCCCCTTTTATGGCTTTCAATATGAAGAGTCACTATTAATCTAAAACAACAGTATGTGAATGAGATATTTTTATGAAAATTATTTCTGAAAAACTCTGAAGTACAAGTAGGTTTGCTTTTATTTATTTAATAGATTGCAAATGGAGTTTCAATGTCATTTTAATTAGCATCATCTTTTAATATTAAACTGAATAGCATACTGAATCTGGTAACTTATTACACTTCTTGTTTATTGTCATCTTTTCTTTCCTATGTATATAACAACAATCTTAATTATGCCATATATGATGCAAATATTGTCTGTTTTTTCCCTATTTATATGAGGTATGTTTAATTGTGGGTAAGCCTTAAACTTCATATAATCAAGTTCTCTTGATCTGGAGTTATGGAACTATTTTTATCAAACCAAAATTAAAATACTACTTCACCAAATACTTATTAAAGAGTTTATTCTACTTTGCTTATTTTTCAAAACCCGTATTTTAACATTATACCTGGAATTTATTTTAGTAAGGCTGAGTTAGACATAAACTCTATTCTAACCTTAAAAATGTTCATCTATGATCAAATTATCATGTTACCAAATATTTTTGTCTCCTTTGTTGTTGTTGTTGTTGTTGTTAGGTGCTATTGACTCATAGCGACCCTGTACAAAACAGCACATACACTGCCTGGACCTTTACCATCCTTACAATATTGTCTCCTTTATCAAACATTAAATAGGGTCTGTTTTAGAGCTAGCCTATTGATCAATGTCTCTTTTTTTCAATTGTTAGCTGCTGTCAAGTCAGTTTCAACTCATAGCAACCCAGTACAAGATTTTCCAAGGAGCGGCTGGTGGGTTTGAACCACCAACTTTTCAGCTAGCAGTTCAGTGATTATCCTACAGCACCACACCAAGATCGATTTTTGCAACTGATGCATATTATTTTAATAATTTTTGCTTTCCAGTTTATAGTTACTAAGTGTTATCAAGTCTCTTCGGACTCACAGAGACTCTGTATAGGGTTTCTGAGGAGCAGCTAGTGAGTTTGAATTGCTGACCTTGTGGTTCCCAGAGCTGTGATCCTACAGAGCCACACCAAGAGTCCTATTTATAGTTATTAACTCTTTTTTATTTTCCTAAAATATTCTTTTATTTCCTCCACCATTTTTTTTTTTTAGTCAGTTATAGAGGAAAAATTATAACGTTCCTGGGACTATTACATTAATAATTTGGGGATATTAGTTATTTTCATCTTTAGTTTAGAAATTTTAGGGATATGGCAAATTTTTTTTTGTATACATATGTTATTTGATGCTTCTTTTATAAAAGTCATATTTTTTTTAAGTTTATCTGTATATATATCTGCATATGCCACAGAATATGAGATCTCTTTTTCATTGTATTTTCCACCTTGATATTGATAACATAAGAATGCTCTAAGTTTTTGAATATTTGTCTTGAATCTATCACTGAGTCAACTTCTTAATTAGTCTGGCAATTTGGAGTAACTCTTCCTTGCAAGGCAGAAATAAGTCTAAACGCTTTCAGAAAATCCTAATAAAAAAAGGTAAAAATCAGTAGAAATGATGCAAAATATTTTCAGTCATATTCTGAGTCAATGTGGCTTTCATTTGTGCCATAGAAAATTCCTATGTCTTGAAGGAAAGTGTGTTAATCAAAAAGAATTGTTAAAAACTATTTTATTACTTAATTTCTGTTCATTTTAGTTGGATGACTTTTGGCAACACACTAAACTCTATTATCCCTATGTTTTTCTGTATCTCAAAATGGGAGGCCCAGGCAAAACATGGCACTGCTGAGCAAGGCCATGGAAATGCTGTCCACGTGGGAACTGTGAATGTTGACTGAGTAATCTGCCTTTGTAGTTTTGAAAAACTAGATGTTGCACTAATCCAGCAATATAAATACACCTGGAAATAGGTTAATGTGCTGGACTGCAAAGTTGGTTTGAACTGCAAGGTTAGCAGTTCAAGTTCACCAACCGCTCCTCATAAACCTATGCAGGGTCACTGTGGATTGGAACTGACTCAATGGCACTTAACAAAACAATCAGGAAAATAGGAGTCCTAGTGTGGCACTGTAAGATAAGCACTGGACTGCTAATCACAAGACTGGCGGTTAAAACCCACCAGTCGCTCTTTGGAAACCCTATACAAGATCGCTAGGAGTCAAAACAAACTAGATGGCACTTAACAACAACAACAATTTGTTAAATAAGACCTTTTAAGAGGTTAATTTAAGAGTGAGGTAGTAGATGGTTATCCCCTGATTTAATGGGTTCTCTATTACCTGATTTAGGTAAAAAGAGAAGAAATGGATAAATCAATTTGTTAGGATGTACACTTACGTTTACTACATTAACAGCTCTTGTAAAGTATGTATTGTTATTGTTGTTGTTAAGTGCCGTCGAGTTGGTTCCAACCCATAGTGACCCTGTACAGGGTTGCCGAGGTGTAAATCTTTATGGGAATAGAAAGCCTCATCTTTCTCCCGCGGAGCGGCTGGTAGTTTCAAACCGCTGACCTTAAGGTTTGCAGCCCGATTCGTAACCACTATGCTCCTATAGATGATGAAATTCTAGTATCATACCTGATGATGTGCTACCCACCAGTCTCCTCTTTAAAATGTTTAAATCTGCAAGTACCATTCAAAAGCATAAAAACCAAAAACTTCTTTTGAAACAGTGCTTTTAGCATTTTTAATTTTTATTTTGCTCTTCTGAAAAAGAAGTGACTGTCACAGAAATAAGGAATGCAAAACTAAGGTATTCTCCTCTTTGTTATTCTTATGTCAAAGACCAAAGAAAGAGAGAGAGATGTTTCAAATATTCAGAAGAGATGCCAGTCTCTACTCTAGCCTCTTATTTAAAGTCAACAAAAATGTTATTAATTCATCATTAACTTTTATTCCCTTCAAGACTGCAAGGTAGCCACCAATATCAGAAGACAGAACCAAGTACATGGCTCTAAGTTATACCTATATTGTACTGCCAAGGATCCTATCAGTCCTGAAAACTAAGTCCCCTGCATAGATGGTCCAGGCTGCCCAAAACTCTTTTACCAAGGTACAAAGTCATTCCCTTGTGATGAATGGAAATTAGTTGTCCTTACAAAACTAAGGGAGAACTAACAAGTGCTTACCTTTTGAAAACAAGATCTCAAAGAACATTTGGGTAACATTTGTTACATTATGACTCAACTCACTAACTGTCATTCAAGGGCCTCTGAGCATATTAATCTCTTCATGTTATGAAACTGACTTTCAGCTCATTAAAAGATGGTGTTTTGCTTGTTAAGACTTTTTTTAAGGCATTAACAACGTGAAAATGTAATTAGCCACAATATATGAATCTGAGACAAAATACACAAACGTGAACTATCAGAACTCAAACTTTTATTTTTACTTGGACAGTAGATGATTAAAGAAAAAAACTCCAACTCAAAACACTTCATGGTTAAATGAAATCTATGAACACAGTACTCAAAATATACTATGAGAGAACAAAAAATCTCTAAATAATACTTTTCAAAATAACTGTAATAGTGTATTATTGTATTAAGTGGATATGAGTACCTGAAGACTCTAAGTAGTTTCACACATTGATTATTATACAGTTTCCATATTAGAAGTACTCTTCACAGTAGATTATATGACATTAAAAAAACATATCTATTAGAGTACACCTTTATGCATTTCTACTTCTGGTCAAAATAGAACCAATGCATACCTTTTCCCAGTGAACAATTTCCCAAGCACCATTTCTTAAAACTAGAAAGAGAAAAGATGACACTTTTCAGAACAGTATGATTACCATACACATGCTGTGTCTAATACAATGGTCATTTAAATTAAAGCTTCAAATAACCAGTAGCAATTTTCACAAATTTTATTTTTACATGTAACGATATATACAGTTATACAAATAATTTTAATTAATTATAGCCTTGTATGTAAATAAGATGTACATATTAGATCCCACAATAACACATCACTAACAGAAGGCAAACTCCTTAGCATACCAAGGTTTTTCTTCAGCATACAGAGGAATTTCTGGTCCTGACATAAGGAGAACACATAAAACTGACGTGAACCATGGAGTGACAATGTTAAAACTAGCAAACAAAAACCCAGCAAATCAAAAGCATAGAAAGAAACAGATTTATAAAAATGAAACACAAAAAGCCAGAAGATAAAGACTCTGTACCTTCTCTATAGTATAAGCACTGGACTGTTAATCACAATGCTGGTGGTTCAAACCCACCGCCACTGCTTGGAAACCTAATACAGGGTCACTATGAGTCAGAGCTGGCTGGATGGCAGTTAACAATAACAGTAGTAGGACACAGCTACTGTTGAGGAACAGAGGGCTGCATCTACCAATATTCCCAGGTGTTGGGATCTACGTGAAACCTTAGTAATAACTGTAGAGATTTACTTCAGATACAACCCTGCCGCTTTGTGGATTTCATGTGAAAAACCACATATGCATAGAGAAAACGGTTAACAACTACTTTAAAACAAAGATGAGAATGAAAGATGAATGCAAATGGAACAACCAGAACAGAAAGGCTGAGAATGTTCACACATGTGAAGAATGTAACCAATGTCACTGAACAACTGGTGTAGAAATTGTAAAATGGGAAACTAAATTGCTGTGTAAACCTTTACAGAAAACACAACAAAAATAATAATAAAGTTCACAAACAAGCAGGAGATTTTTTTTATCAACTACTATAAAGGAAAACACTTGGACAGTTTCTTCAAAGAGTTAAGCACAAAGTTAACAATACAAAAACTTGTACACAACTGTTTGCAGCAGCATTATATATTTCTATCATGGAATATTCATCCACAAAAAGGAACAAAATATGGAACATGCCACAATATGAATGAACCTTGAAAATATTATATGAAGAGAAAGAATCCAGTCTACATAATACCTTTTATATGTCATGATTCCTTTTATATAAAATGCCCAGACTGACAAATCCGGACAGACAGAATATGCACTAGTGGTTGTCAGGGGCAGGGAGCAATAAGGAGTGACTGTTAACTTACTAGCAGTTCCACAGGAGAAAGATGAGGCTTTCTGCTCGGGTAAGGATTTACAGCCTTGGAAACACTATTCAGGGTCACCAACTTCACAGTACATAACCACCCCACCACCACCATTAATGGGAAAAGCACTGGACTGTGAACCACAAGGTTGTTTGTTCAAACTCACCAGCTGCTCCTCAGAAACACTATACAGTGTTGCTATGAGTCCGAATTGACTCCACAGCACATAACCACCAACCATCACAACTGAGCTTGGTGGTTCAAGTTTACCAGATGCTCCTTGGAAACGCTATACAGGGTCACTATGAGTCAGAATTGTCTCCATGGCACTTAACAACAACATCAATAGCTATGGCTTTTTTGGAGGTTGGGAGGCAATGAGACTCGTTTGAAATTAGATGTATACAGTCTTTTGAATATACTAAAATTCACTGTGTACACTTTAGAAAAATCACAAATTTTATATGTTATGTAAAAAGATAACAATGATTTAAAACATGCATCTCAGTCTTGTGGATTACTAAAACGATTTCCAGTGTGAGTTGTTGGGAATGGCATGTAACCATCAGCTACACTAACATGAGCTCTCCTCTGATGTCAGCACAGGGTCAGCCCTTCCAACTTTGAAATTTAAACTAGCTCTCTTTAAAATACTACCACTTCTCAGGTGTTTCTTAGTTCACCTCTAAAAATAGCCCTGAACCAGTCTACTGGGTTCCACTTAACACGAGAGAAATGTCCCAACAGGCCTCTCAGACCCGACACACCACGCCTGGGCATCTTCACTCCAGCAGAGGCTAAAAGTTATTTGAGGTACCTCTGAGGACCACAGAAAACATTCCTGCCAGTCGGCTTCACGTCTCTATCCTCCACACGTGCTCCTTCCTTCTCAATCTTGCTTGGATTGCAGTTCTCCGTCTAAACAACCTCCCCTTTCCACACCTGACCTTACTGCATTTATCTGAATTAACCAGCCCTCAAGCTACCTCCTATGGATCTCCACTTGCAGTCAAACACTACATTCTCCTACGCTCCTCCCACCGCCACACGCAGCCTCTCATTTATCAATTACAAGTTAAAGGATATTGTAGGGCAGAAAAAAGAAAACGCAGGTAATCCTGAGAGTCTGAGAAACTTCATGGTCGTGGAGCAAAAATCTTTGTTGTAGGGAAGCCTGGGCCAAGGTTTCCAGTGAGGTCTTTTATATCCAAGTTGTCAATTTAAATGACCAATTAAACAAGGCAAACCATCTTTAAACAAGGTATAGAAGCTAGTGTCGAGTGTATCCGGGAAAGTTTGTAAACTTTAAATAGCACCTAACAAGTAAATCACTAATTCATCCATCCAAACCTTATCCTCGGTAAGCCTCACCATCACACTTGCAGGAATCTGAGATAAGCACACAGCTGTCTGGGTCCAGCTGCAGAATACCTAGATTTTACACAAAGATTTCATGATTTATTCCACATTCTCCTCCTGGTAGAAATGCTTCCATTACAAAATATATATATATTATTTCTGCCACTACAGAGAACACTGACATATATTTATATGCTTTTATCCTATAGGACAAAATCTCCAAAGGAGCATTTGTTCCCTTTTTTTTTTTTTTTTACTTTTTTTTATTTGTTTATTTTGTTTATTTGTTTACTTTTTTTATTTATTTGTTTTCTTACTTTTATCAGGAGCACTCAAGTTTACTTTCCTAAGAATCTACAGTGATCCACTCTAGCCAGCAACATACACAACTACACTCCATAAATCCAAACTGGAACAACTGTTACCAGTCATTAGAATTTTGTCAAATCTGATCCATATTTAGTATTTATACTGAAAGTTACAGCTTCCTGATCAAACTGTAAATTGTCTTTATGTCAAAAGGCAATTGAGTTAGAATCCTAATGAAACCAAATATTATTTAAAAATACTACACAGCTCTGCTACTCAACAAGTGGTCTATGGACCCTCAGCTATCAGCATCACCTAAACGCCTGTTAAAGGTAAGAATACAAGGGGGATCAAAAAGTTCATGAAAAAATTTAATCAAATGATGATGGATGAGAACAAACAAGATGGTGGATTGGGTGGAAGTGCAGTGAGGAGCTCTGTCAGCAACAACACAGAGTACTGGACCAAACAGGCTCAGGCAATGGTCCCAGAATCTGAACCACATATAAAGGAATATTTAGAAAGTTGGCAGGCTTACAGCCAATGGGATGTGTAGCAGAAGCAAGAAATCCAGTGCTTTCTAATCCAAGGTGCTCAACTGCTCCCTGAGTGGCTATCCTGGGCAAGACTGAATGGTGAAGGATGAGAGCAGCCACAGACACCTGACAGAATCACAGAGATAAAGGTGTGGACATTCTTTTTTTTCTATGTGTTCACTGGTCTCTCGCTATCTACACACCTCCATTCTGGTGACTAGAGGGGGTGCCTGAGAGAGTGGATGCCCCACCCCCGGAGGGTTCTATTACACATGCACACAGATATCCTCAAAATTTAAAGGGACAGTTTCCACTTAAAAGCAAACGGCATTGCAATATGGCCACAGCCAGCCTTGAACTGTTCATCATCAGGAAAAAGGCCTGAATGGGGGTTGTGGACTGGGATAAGCAGACTAAAAAGGAAACAGGCTGAAAATTAAATCCTGAGTTACATCATAATGACCAACAGTGGCACCTTGAAATTTCCCAGAAGAAGAGTGAAAAGGGAAGCCCATCTCCTGATCACATCTACCTAGAGGCAATCAGAAAGCATAAAAAACACCAAAACACACACCCATCTAAGTATTAAGGCCACGGATAACTCCTGATTATGCCAAAAAAACAGAGACAGATGACCATATCAGCACATGTCCAGAAACAAGATAAAGTGACTGAAACAAATGAACTGGAGGTAGACCTACACTCTATACCGGAAGGAGGGCAGGCTTTGGAAATACCTGAGAAGGAATTCAGAAAAATAATTATAAACTGTATCAAAACACTTTACAATGGAGTTGCGAAAAATAAGGAAGAAATCAGGAAAGTGCTACAGGAACAACCAAACCAGATAGATACAACACTGGAAACAATTCAAAACCTACAGAAAGAGGTACAAATGATCAATAATAGAATATCAGAGATGGACAATACACTGAAAGGGCAAAGGAGCAGAATTGAAGAGATGGAAGCCAGAACTAGTGAGCTGGAAGATAAATCTCTCAATACTACTAAAATAGAAGAAAAAGGAGAAAAAAGGATTTAAAAAATCTGAAGAAGGTCTAATATTCTTGTTAGATTACATGAAGAGGAATAACATTAGAATTATCAGCATTCCAGAACAGGAAGAATCACACAAGTCCACAGAGGAGATAGCTGAAAAGCTTCTGGAAGAAAATTTCCCTAACATCCTGAAAAGCAAAAAGATAAGCATTCAAGAAGCTCAATGAACCCTAGGACGGATAGAACCTAAAAGAAAATCACCAAGACATATCATAATCAAGCTTTCAAAATCAAAGATAATGAGAGAATCCTGAGAGCAGCTAGGGAAAAGAGAAAGTAACATACAAAGGCAAGCAAATCAGATTAAGCTCAGATTTTTCAACAGAAACCATGTAGGCAAAAAGGCAGAGGTGAAACATATATAAAACCCTGAAAGAAAAAACCTGCCAACCGAGAATCCTCTACCCAGCAAAGCTGTCAATCAAATACAATAAGGTAATCAAAACA